CAAGAGTCCTTCAGAGGCAAGGATGACCAAACTTCATCTCACTTATTTTCAGAAGGAATCAGTCCTTGGGAAGAGACATCATGCTGAGAAAGGTAGAGGGTGAGTGAAAGAGAGAAAGTCTCTCAACAAGTTGGATTAATGCGGTGGCTAAGACAATGGACTTGAGCATGACAGTGTTCGTGAGGACAGTGCAGGTTCAGGCAAGTTTCTGATCTGCTGGTCACAGGGTCACGATCAGTGGTAGTCAAGCAGATGGCACCTAACAACAATGCACACGGCATCAATCTGGAGGCATTCCATTTCATTTTTTTACAATTTCCATTTTTTTTAGAGTCAAACTTTGTACATTCATACTTGTAGTTATTAACGGGTGCTTGCAGTTGTTTCTGCTCATTATGAGTCATACCACGTTAGCAGATAAAGGTCCTTCACTGGGTGAAACCTTCACTCCATCCATGTCATTAAGATAGATTGAGGAGGCTCATCTTTCTTGGTTGCCTTCCAACATGAGAGGCTCATCTCTGGCTCTATAATGACAATATTCCAATGTTCTTCATAGTTTTCCAAGGCTGCTTAGTCCGTAGAGAGTTGCACTGTTAACCTACAGGTCACACTTCTGTGCTGGTTCAACTCTACCAATGGTTCTATGCCCAACTTTGATGGATAATCTCCTTGGTGTGATTTAGAGCTTTGGAAACACACTTGAAAGTCAGCATTCAGTAGGCTCTGACTTGATGGCAGTGAGAGAGTTATTTTGGAAGTGGATAGTTATTCTCGCTTCTCTCTCTGTCTTAGTCAGGAAGCTCCCCTGGAACCTGTCCACCAGGGGTGACCCTGCTGGTATTTGGAATATTTGTTGAATGGCTTCCAGCATGACAGTAACATGCAAGCCACCAAACTATGATAAGCAGTACATGACTACTTGTCACATACTTGATATGACTTGGCAAATAAGTCGTGCATAATGTTCTTACGTTATTCTATGTGTCATTGACCTTCCAGCTGTTACACAATCACACAGGAGATGGCCCATCTTTATCCTGTGGAGTTGCTGGTGGGTTTGAACCATGTGTCATTGGGTTGGCAGAGGAACTCCTAACCAGAGCTCTTTTGATACAACATAGCAGTTGTCATGTCTGCCAAATTTTCCTCTTTGAAATTGGGATGGCTTTTGTTCAGTCGCAGTGCTCCCTCACAAAATTGCCTGTCCTTAGAGTTTTTTGCTCTATATCAATTTACTGAGCTCAGGGTTCCAGAATGCAGACCCCTGAAAGCTCAGGGCACTCAGGTCTCTCAGCTTTATGTTCCTGAAAGTTTTCCTTCTTATCCTTCCAGTGTACCCCCACACACCACAGGGGCTTGGCTTGGAAGACCAAACCTCAATGTGTGTCCCCTCAACCGGCTTGGGGCCTTCTTGGGCAGCTTCCCAAGGGCAGCCCCAGGCCCTTACCTTTTATGAGGATGTCCTCCGTCAGTGGGATGCCATACCACTCACAGAGCTTCCAGCACCGCAGGTAAACCAGATAGGCATCTCTGTGGACCTTGTTGATCAGCTCCCCCACGTCTCCGGGTATTGTGGATGGGAGGCAGTTTGCATCAAAGTACTTGCTCCCACTGTGCGCCAGGTGGCACTGCTCTGAGTAATGACTGGGGGAAATGGTGATCTGCAAAGAAAGATCAGGGAAGCCACATCCTTACCTCTCCTCTTTCTGTCTGCCTGGAAGGCAGGAGCAAGCCCTATTTCCTTTGCCCACAAGACTCCATGAAGGCAATGGCAAAGAGCACCAAGTATGGCCAAAGCTTGGGCTCTAAGATGAGGAGGTCATGCATTGTCAAAGTTAGCCTTGGACCTTAGCAACAAAAGCAAAGCTTATCAAGACAGAAAAAACAAATGCTGGCAATGATGTGAAGAGACTGAAACTCTCCTACACTGCTGGTGGAACTACAGAATGGTGCAATCAATGTGGGAAACAGTAGGTCGCTTCCTTATAAGGGTGAAAATAAAAATGCCATTCAATTCAGCAATCTCATTATTATATACATCTATATAGATGGACAATCTCCTCCTGTGCTATTACCTGCCTCTGAAAACCCATTAAAGGGTTGGTTCCAACGTGGTACCAATGCCATAGTATGCTATACACACACACACACACACGCACATATATACACATATGTATACATATACATATATTGTATGTATGTATGTATATGTATATATACATACATAT